AGGCCTCCCTGTCCTGTCCTTACTCCCTCGGATTTTCTACAGAAGCCACTTAAGAGGCTTAGAGTGATCGTCCTAAGACAGAAGTCAGATCACGCTGCTCCTCTGCTCAAAACTCTCAATGGTTTCCCTTTTCACCACAGTAAATGTCAAACCTCTTACCTTCACCTCCAGGACCCTCGTGATCCGGGTGTATATTACCACCCACCACATGTCCTACCTCTTTCCCCTCCTGTTCAAGCCACGCTGGCCTCCTTGAATATGCCAGCCACAGCCAGTCTCAAGCCAAGCCCTTTTCACTCATTGTTCCCTCTGTTCGGAATGGAATGCATTACTTCCAAATATCCACATAGCCTATCCCCTGACCTCCTTCAGGTCCTCACTCATATGTCACTTCTCAGCGAGGCATTCCTTGACCGTACTGTCCATAATTGCAACTCTTCCCCCCGAATGCCCTCAGTCTTCTTCCTCTGCTTTATTTTTCCCCTTGGCATCAACAGTTAATGAAATTTTTTTAAATCTTACATTATCTGTCAATATCTGTCTCCCTCCACCAGAACGTAAGCTCCATGAGGACTGGGAAGTCTGTCTTTTTTATTCACTGTTAGATCCCGGGACTCAGAACAGTGCCTGGCATGTAACAGGCATTCAATAAACCTTTGTTGAATGAAAAAGTGAATGATGGTTATTTGGGCTGTTTTCAATGTTTTTCCACTAAACAAATGCTGGAATGATCAACACTGTACAATGATTATTTTGCTTATGTATGAGGACATCTGTAGGACAAAAATGTGGAAGTTAAATTGCTGGGCTGAAGGACATGAACAGTTGTAATTTTTATCAACATTCCCTGAATGTTTTGGTAGTTAAAAATTCTACCATAATCTACCGCTTTATATTGAACAAATCACATGATTAATTGGATGGTAGCCCATGCTGACCTGGGTTTTTAACTACATGGAGAGAAAGTAATCAGGAGAAAAGCTGCCCAAGGAATTCAAGAAGTTCATTAGCTGTCAACGTGAGTTACTGACCCTTCAACGATGCGAGCGGAGCATCATGGCAGCCTGGCCACGTTGCATTCATTACACCCGGTAACTGTCTGCTTGAAGACATGAATTGCAAAGGCCAGGTCTTATGGCCCGAATTATTTCTGAAGTTAGAAGGCTCTGTGGAAGGGAAGACCTTCCAGGTCATTTAGCATAATCTATGGAGTGCCTATGCTTCTCCCACACGGGTTCGGAGATGCTCTGGCCAAAAACTTTTGGACTCTGCCAGGGGTACCAAACAGCATGACCCCTGGGGATGTCACAAATGGAGCAGTGCACAGCATGGACAGCTAGGACAGTGACCTGGTTCTTTACAGCACCATTCTATGGCAAGAACTCATTGAAATGGCTCCTAGGACCCCTCATACCTCCCCAATCTTGTGCTGAAACAGTCACGGCTCTGCAACTGTAGTTTGCCACCTACAGACTGTCAGGCAGTTGTTTCTGAGAGTCAGCCCACTCTTTCTGCAGATGATTTGGAGGGATTTGTAAATAAGAACCTCACCCCAGCTATCACCATTGGCCTCGCTTGCCTGACTCCCTGAGGAGGCTTGGATGGAGCCCCATAGAGCTTCCTTCTCAGCCAGCTCAGCTCAGCCATGGGGTATGGGATGGGCAAAGGCAGATTTGCAGTAGTGTGATGGGGTTTTTGTTCCTAAAAAAAACCTTTCCTGCCCATCCCCCAAAATATGGGTTTGTTTTTAGCCATTCCCAGGAATACAAGACGGAATTATTTTAGATGAAATTGTAGACTAGGGGACATTTCTATTTACCTCCACTCTTGCACCTTGCCTTCAGCCACCAATTCTCATGAAGCCAGTTTATCAGCTGGAGAGCATGGATGTGGAGTCTGTGGACTGGAGTTCAGGTTTGCCTCTGCTTTTTGCCGCTGTATAGCTTCAGCAGAATCACTTTATTTTTGTGTTTATTTTTAATGAATTAATTATTTTTTGGAGATGGGGTTTCACTACTGTTACCCAGGCTGGTATCTAACTCTTAGACTCAAGGGATTCTCCCACCTCAGCCTCCAAGTAGCTGAAATTACAGGCACACACCACTTCACCTGGCTCCTGGATTTGATTTTTTAAAGTCTCATGAAGACCCTGGCCTCTGAAAATGCCAAAGTGGATTCACATGGTTTCCTGAACATCCAGGAAACTGTTTTAGAAAGAAACACCCGCTATTGCTCAAAGTGTGCATAAACCATTTTGCATCCATCTAATTGGCAAAAATTGAAGTCTGACAAATGTGGAACAACTGGGATTTTCACGTGCAACTTGTGGGAGTGTTAGCAGATACAACCATTTGGGAGTGCAATTTAGTCAGCATCTAATAAGACTGAAGATATGCATACCCTTTGAGACAGCAATTCCACTCCTAAACATATATACCCTGAAAAGCATGTATGCACAAAGTCCTGTGTAGTGTTTATTGCAGCGTTATTACCATTGGTGAAAATTGGAAACAAATGATCATTAACTAGAGAATGAATAAGTAAATTTCAGTTTAGTCCTACAGTGAAATACTGTCCATCCATGAAAACCGATGCACTAGAACGACATACCCCAATCAGTAAATCTTAGAAAATCATGTTAAGCCAAAATAAAAGCAAGTTGCAGAATATATATAATATAATGCCACTTGTGTAAAGGTTAAAAGTATGCAGAAATGCTAAACATTGTTTACGGATACACATATATGCATAACAAATTTCAAAGACTGTATGGGCAAGACAAATCCCAAATTCAGGATAGTGGTTGCTACGATCTGAATGTTGGTATCCCTCCAAAATTCCCATGATAGAACCTAATATTCAGTGTGATAGTATTAAGAGGTGGGGGTCTTTGGGAAGTAATTAGGTCATGACAGTGGAGCCCTGATGGGATTACTGCCCCTATAAAAGAGGCTCAACTGAGCTCCCTTGAACTTCTGCCATGTGAGGACGCAGCGAGAAAGCGCCATCTTTGAAGCAGAGAGTCCTCACCAGACGCTGAAGCTTGGTGCCTTGATCTTGAACTTCCCAGCCTCCAGAACTGTGAGCAATCAATTTCAATTGTTTATAAATTATCCAGTCTAAGGTATTTTTGTTGTAGCAGCAGGAATGGAGTAAGACAGTCACTCTCTTTGGGAAGGGAAGGGAATGGGACCAGGGAGGGCTACACTGGCACTTCAGTGGCATCTACAATACTTTATTTCTTAAGAATTTTTATTATATTATTAGATATGTGTTTAAGCGCATGAGATATTTCATCATTAAAGAGATCATTTAAAGTGTGTCCAAATCCAGTGGGGAGAAGTATTTTGCGTGTTGAGACAAGTAGCTGCTCCTGTGAATCTGTTCCTCTTGCTCCTAGAGTTACATATAGGGGGCTCTTAACACCATTGAGGGGCCCATCTGGAGACCTTTGTGAAGTTCCTCATTTAGGAACAATGCCAAGGCATCTAATTTTTTCCTAAAGTTTAGTAAAATATAACTGAAAAACTGAAGTGAACATTTTAGACTGATCATCGTTCTAGAGATACAGTTGGAATTCCTTAAAAGCAGTTGGCTTTCTTTCCATGGCTATTTTCCCCCAAAGAAACCAGGGTTTTATTTTTTCTTTGTCAGATATCACGTGTTTACAACAACCCTATGGCGAGCTACATGGCACAAGATTCATATTCATGCCTCAGGAGATTGTTAAGTGCTTCATAAAGTGGACCTTTGAAGTTGGTCATGCGTAAACCTCAGAGGTTATAACCAAGAACAGTGAGGGACCATTTAGGCACTGTCTCGTGTCTCATTTCCCCAGTGGACCCCCTAAGAATCTCCCGTCCTTAGAGCTCCTTTGACCGAATAGTATATGCTGCAGCTAGTGCTACCCACCAAACATCAGGAGCCTAGGGCATTTCCAACCCTATCAGATCTGGGTTCTTCTTCCTGCATCATCCTGCATGAACTGTTTGTGTAAAGGGTGTGTGTGTGTGTGTGTGTGTGTACATACATGTGCAAGGTGACACTAATGAACACTGAGGGCTTCAAGCTGGTCTGGCAGAGCTCTGACCCTGTGCCCATGGGCTATAGTCTCACCAGGCCCCTGCTGGTTGCTACTGATCATTTTGCATTTAGAGGCAGACTCTCAGCCTGACCAGCTGGGGTTTCTAATGTACATGATTTGGGGCAACTTGAAGGGAGTGCCAATCTGCATCTGAAAGTCTTTTATTCCTCCATGGACTGAGGCATGCCAGTTGTGCCCAGTGGTCTGAAGGGTCATTGAGAGGCAAGGCCATGAGTGGAAACAGACCATCTTTAGGGAGCCTGGGTATACATCTTCAGGATGCCCGTGCTTCTGCTGCACCCTCTGTGAAATGTGAACAGTGATCGTGCTCATCTTGCTCCCTGGGCTATTCAGAGAATTAGGAGGAAGTATGAATGACTTTGGTAAGGTTAAAATCACCACTCATGTCGTCTATTATCTTTGATAAAACAGTAACTTCTTTCCTCTGATTTGGGTACAAGGGGAGATTCCCAGCGGGGAGCTTTTTTCTCTTAGGCATCTTCTTGGTTCCTACTGCCATGCATTGAAAGCCCCCATGAATGAATGAATGAATATGAATGAATGAAGATCCCTGCTCTCATGCCCCAGCCAAACCTGACTTCCCACTGTTGCTTCAAGCATGTCCAGTGATTTCCCACACCTTCGCTCATGCGGTTCCCTTTGATTATAATGTCCTATGGCTACTCACTGCAATCCTACCTTCTCCCTAAGGCTCTTTCAAATGCTACCTCCTTGCTGAAGCTTTTTCTAATTTCACCCAAATTGATGTGACATGCCTCTCCTGGGAACCTTGAGGGCCTGGCATAATACCCAACAACACACAGCAGGTGTTTCGAGTGCATTAAATTGCATGAAGCTGACCAGGTCAGGTAGACCTGTTGCTGTTCCCTGGCCTGTGGGAGCCTCAAACCCTTACCTTGGGAGTGAACATGTGTAGGATGCCATCAACTGCCCCTCGCAGCAACAGCCCCCGGACCAGGAAGCAGGCCAGCACCACATAGGGGAAGAGGGAGCTGAAATACATCACCTGCAGAGAAGACAGGGGCCCACCATCAGGCAGAGTCCTTCCTGCAGCTGGCACCCCATCCCTGCTCACATTTGGAGCGCATGAGCTGCCTCTGATGGCAGCAGAAAGCAGAGCCCTAGAACCCCTGGGCACAGGGCCAAACCCGCCACACCTCAGGCATGGAGCCAAGGCAGTGGCAGGAACAGGACAAGCTGGAGTCTGCATGGCCGGGCCTGGGGTTGGTCTTCTCCTTTCCAGAGCTGGTAGGGCTGAGCTAACAGCCTCCTCATCCCACAGGGCTGCCAAAGGGGTGAGGGAATCCTGTGCTCCCCACTCCTCATTCTCCCATGTCTCATTCCCCAGTGGACCCCCTAAGAATCTCCCGTCCTTAGAGCTCCTTTGACGGAAGACTTCCAGGAGGTTACAGACATGGCTCCCAAGCATAAGACATCTGAAGAAGTCCCCAGCGCCTTGTGAGGACGAACCGTGGGCTCTTCTCTAGCACAGCGTTTCTTGCACATTTCTATATCCCTGCATGCCTGGCATACAGCCTCACACAAAAAAAAAGGTGCTCACAAAATGTTTGCCGCACTGAAACAAATGAAGAGGGCTGTGTGGACAGGGTGGTGTAAAGGCCATCAGAATACATGTCTGCCGTTAGACTGCCTGAGTTCTGAGCCTGGCTCTACCATGTATTAACATGTGACCTCAGGCATTTCATTTAACCTCCGTGTACCTCCACCTCCTCATCTCTAAAATGGGCGTAATCATCCCTAACTCATAATGCTGTGGACCAAATGCCTTCATACAGGTGGCAGTACCTGCGAAGTACCAAGAAGCATCAGCTACTATTTCGGCCTCTGGAGAGCAAGAGGTCAGTGGCTTTAAATTCTCTCTTCCCACCCAGAAGACCCTGCGTTCTACCTTTTTAGAGCTTAGCTTCCTTGCTCATCAAATCTGGTAAAGAATCTGAAGCCTCAAACAGCCAGGGTTCTAGTTGCAGCTCTGAGACTGACTGGCTGCATGATGTTAGCTAAGGTGCTTTTCCCTCTCTGGGCCTCATTTTCCTCATCTGTAAAATGAGTGGACTGGGATACAGGATCTCTAATATAAGCCTTTCCATCCCTGGCAGCACAGGAATACTGATAGGTGACAAGTAAGAAAGGGTCCTTATTAATTTTTTTTTCTTGAGATGGCGTCTCACTCTGTCACCAGGCTGGAGTGCAGTGGCATGATCTAAGTTCACTGCAACCTCCGCCTCCCAGGTTCAAGCAATCCCCCTGCCCCAGCCTCCCAAGTAGCTGGGAATACAGGTGCACGCGCCAACACACCCAGCTAATTTTTGTATTTTTAGTAGAAACAGGGTTTCACCATGTTGGCCAGGATGGTCTCGATCTCTTGACCTTGTCATCCACCCCCCTCGGCCTCCCAAAGTGCTGGGATTACAGGTATGAGCCACCGCGCCTGCTGAAAGGGCCCTTATTTAAAGGGCATCTGAACTGCTAAGAAGAGGTGTGGGAGTTGGCTGTTCTGCCTCTCAGAAACACCTATGGAACTGCCTCCTTCACTCATAGCATCTACCTGCTCAAAGGGCCCTTTAGCTATAGCCATAGCAAGTTGCTGGTTTTCACCAAAACCTGCCCAAAGCCGGCTCTTTTGGGGCTTTTGCTCTTGGGAACCTGATGGTCTAGAATCTAGACAGATGTCCCTCGGTCAGTACTTCTAGTTTTCCTCCTCACTAACGTTTGCAGAACAGGCCTGAGTTATCTGAGCAAAGAAGCAGCTGGGATTCAGGGCAATGCCTTGCCAGCTATTCCACTCCAGGTGGGCTGTCTATGATGAACAATACTACAGCAGTGATACTCCCATGCCCTCCTCTGGGGGCCTGTGTCATCATCCAGAGCCATCAGAGCCCAAGCCCACCTGGAAGACCCTGCAGGAGGCAGCCTGGAATTCTCAGCCCTGTGCCCTCTATGCCTTTCTGCTACTCCCCATTTGGGTCCTAGGTGACCCCCAGCACTCACCTTCCCCGAGGACTGGATGCCCTTAACAACAGCCATTCCCACGATGCTCCAGGCCACGAGGAGGCACAGGGTCATCTTCCAGTTGAGTCCCCCACTCTCCGAGATGGAGTCAGAGATGTCCAAGGCCTCTCGGTACCAGAAGTAGGTAGTAGCTGAGCTCTTTTCACACTCTGCCTCCACCACTGAAATAGCAGCAAAGGTCACAGGGCCTCAGTGGTGGGGCCTATTGGGTCACTTCCTCTGCTGGACCCCCACTCAGGGCAGCAGCGGGCAAGGGAGCAGCTGAGGGTGGGCAGCTGGGAGGGGCCGCGCTCATTCTGGGTTAGCTAGGATCTGGCAGATCCCAAGGAATCCTAGGTGCCCAGTGGGGTCTGGGAGGCTTCAGGACACACTGGCCTGGCTGATTCCCACCCATGCCTCCCCCTGTCCATGTCTCTCCATGGGAGGTAGGAAAGGTGAGGCTGAATTGGCCTAAAGTTCCTTGGGAAGGGTCCTGAGCTGGGGGCTAGAGACCTGGATTCTCATCCCAGATCATTGGTTAGAAGAGTGATGTGAACATGGGAAAGTTGCTTCTGGGCCTCAGTTTCCTCATCTGTGAAGTGGAATAACAGGGTGGGTAATAACAACTAAAGTCACAATTTCCAGAGTTTTACCTACACTCATTATTTTATTCTATCTCCGTTAAGAAATAGGCTGGAAAAGAGACCATTTCCCTGGGGAAGGGGAAATGAGGATCAGAGATGTGAAGTGACTTACCCAAGGTGACACAACAAGTCTGAAATTTCAAGTGTGTGCACTAAGCCTGTGAGACCCCTTCCCAGGACAGAGCTGGCTGGCATCCCCGTCTGGGCCCCATACTTGCCTGCCATGCTCCCATTCCTGACGACAGGACATTCGCTCCAGGGCAGGGGGTACTGGAAGGACTTGAAGAAGTAGAAGATGCTCCACCCAATGATCACGTTATAATACAGCCCCACAAAGAGACAGACCTGGGAACAAGCCCACCGCGGGGTCACCGAGGCTGCAGACAAATCTGCCCTGCCCCTATGCTCTACCCGAGGCCCAGCACGTGGGCAGCGCCAAAGAACACAGCAGCACAGCCTCCAGGGAGGCACAGGAGAGGTGGGGTGTGGGCCGTGGAGAAGCGCCCCTCGCCCTCCATTCATCTGATATTCAGGGAATCCACAAAGGAATTTTTCAGATGTTACAGTTCTCTCTTTTAAGCAACAAACTCTTAAAATTTTAATCCTTTCCAGTTGGAAATTCTTCTGATACTTGAAGTACTTTCTCCTCCTCCCTTCCTGATGACTCAAGATTGTAATGACAGAGATGCCCTCCAGAGCAGTGAAGGCACGCACGGCTTTGGCCCCTATGGTAAACACAGCCAGACTGCTGTGCTTTGAGAGACTTTGTGGGTATTTCTTGTGGATTCTGCTCTCTCTTGGGCATGCTGGCATCCTGCCTCTAGAAAGATGGCACTGCTCATTTCCAGCAAACACAGTGACACTGGTAGAATTTTATTTAAAATAGGAGAACATGGACTCGGCCTGAAGGTTCAAGCAATGTTTCTATGGGCAGGGATTTGCTGCATCCACTCTGGACACAGGGAGGCCCCTTCCAGAGGCCCGGCTGTCTCCTGCGTCAGTGAGATGGGCGGCGTCAGCGTGAGAACTCAGGGCCACTTGCTTCCTCTGTCTCACCTGAGCACGTGTGTGCAGGAGCAGAACATACTGGGAGCACAGAGTGAGACGCCCACTTCCTTTACTTGGGTCCTTTCAGTCCAAGCGAGAGACCACACACACACTCCTGCGTCTCAGCACACAGCCAGTCCCAGCAGAATACACGGCATTGGCCAGTGCAAAGCTGATGGCTGGCATGAGAGCAGGGAGGATGCGATAGGCCCTCTCCCAGTCTCTCACTGAGGCAGGTTTGGGCTGGCCCTACTGCCAGCTGGTGGAATCCTTAGTCCCTTCCAGAAGTTCATGCCAGTCCTTATCCCACGTGTGAGCAGTGAGCATGGGCCCCTGTAGGTTTTTCCCTTAAGGGATGCTCAATTTTCTTACCTAGAGCTCTGAGCAGGGTCTCATCTGTAACTTGTGGATGAGGCTGGAGCCCTCACAGAGTTCTCCATCCGGGGCCAGTGGGGTCTCCCTGTTTCTCCCTGTTCCAAAGCCTCACCCTCCTTGGGTTGACCCTAAGTTTCCTGTGTGAGTCCTCCAACTCTGCTCTTTGGCACAGCAAAATGGCAAGGAGACCCTGAGCCCCAGGCCTGCCTGTTCTTGAGGTCCCTGCTTGCCCCATTAAAATAGTCTTTGACTGGCTGGGTGCAGTGGCTCACACCTGTAATCTCAACACTCCAGGAGGCCGAGGCAGGTGGATCATCCAAGGTCAGGAGTTCAAGACCATCCTGACCAATGTGGTGAAACCCCATCTCTAAAAATAAATGAATAAATAAATAAAATAGTCTTTGACCGAGGAAAGAGGAGGGACCTCCCTCATGGGGAGCTGAGGGACCGGTAAGCAGAGAAGGGCATCTGGACTAGTCCACATGTCCCCAGAGAACTCTGGCTGAGCTGTCCCAGGCAGCCCCTTGTGAATATGTCCCAGCTTTTCTTCCTTAGCACCAACGGCAAATCTTCATGCTGTTTCAGGCAGTCTGGTCAACTATCAGTTTAGGAAACACAGTGACTGAGTCCTGAAACCCCAGCTGGGAGTAATTCCCCTGTTGAGGATCCCCCTCCCTGCCCTTGTCCTGACGTAGGACTCTGGCCTGGAAACTCGGTGACCTCCTTGCCAAGGCCCAGGAGCAGCCCCCTGCTCCAGGCGCTCCCGCTCAGCGCCTGCCCTGACTCACTATGCAGCTGGAGAAGCCGATGCCTCCCAGGCGGGGACACACATAGTGCCACACGCCAATGCTGCCGCGGCGTATCCTCTGGCCCACAGCCAGCTCCAGGAAGAAGAGCGGGATCCCGATGATGATCAGCAGCACCAGGTAGGGCACCAGGTAGGCACCTGTGGGAAGAGTGGAGGGATGGCAGGGGGCTCTGGAGCACAGCAGCAGAGCGAGGGAAGGGACACTAGCCATGTCTTCCAGTCTCAGCTGCCTTTCTGGTCTTCTGCAAATTGGCACCAGTCCCGGTGCTCCTCCATGAATGATCTGGCCATATGTGTGGCCTATCACACAGCAGCACACCCAGACCCTCCTTCTCCCCCTTGACTCCCCTGACCCAAAACACTAAGCGAAAAACTGTATGTATGTCAACTCACAAGGCTGGGTTCAGAGACAGACAGACATCGCACTGCCTCTCCGGAATCCACATGTCAAGTCACATGCAGCAGACACACTCACCTCATGAGGTGCTCCATGGACAACTGTTCACACCCCCTCCGCCCACAGAGAAGCAGCCCCAGATGGCATGGGGGCTCGCTCGCCCCCAGAGCCACAGACACCGGGTGCAGCCTTCCTGGAGTCTGAACCAGATGCTGATGCAGCAGATTGGGCAGCTCCAGGGAAGCAGAGCTTGGAAGATCTCCAGGGAGGGGGGATCTGACCAGCTTTGCCATTAATCTACAGCTAATTGAGAGGAATGGCAGAGAAATTAGCAGTTCAGGAAAGCGTGGCCAGGAGGATCATAATGGATAGAATGGGTCTCGCTGAAGATTCCAGATGATAAATTAATCTCGCTGTCCTGGGTCACACTGCAGAAACAATCTCAATTCCCAGTGACAGGGCATTTAGCAGGAGAATTAAAACCATGTCTGGACACAGGCGAGTGCACCCCGCTGAGAGCTGTGCCAACAACCTAGTCCTGTTAGCAAGGCTCTGCCTGTCTGTCAAACACTGTCAGGCCAGACCCAGTCACCAGGGCCCCGACGGTCACTCAGCACTCTGACTAAGCCTTGCAAGTAGAGAGTCTCCAGAAGACACCCAGCTACACTGCTCTGCCCCCATAACATAGCATCCCACACGTTCACCAACATACGCCCAATCTGCCAATGAACACTGGCAATCAGGCATCTCCTAGGCACAAATTCTGGCACTTGGCAACCATCAGCTATTTACTGCAGGTCCACTCTGTGCCAGGCACAGGCAGCAAGGGGATAGCAGAGTAACAGAAGGGCAGACGCCATCCTGGGACAGTTCACTATCTGTCAGGGAGGCAGGCAGAGTCACGCAAGAAATGTGAGCACACATGTGTACACACACACACACCACAGACTAGTCACACAGGCCAACCAAGCACATACATGCTGAGGAAGGGGCCAGGGTCCAATGGAGCTAATCAGAAAGGCAATACACCGAGCCCTGTATGACAGCATCTAACTCACTAGACGCACACGTGCACACCTGCATTCAACTCATCACTAACAAGTAGCCCCATCATGGTGCTCGATGGAGAGAGGGCCCAAAAGGCCACATGCTTAGACCCCTGCATCTGTCTTTAACTCGGTCTCTTGGTCTTGGGTGTTAGGAAGTGGAAGAGGAGCGAAGTGATCTGCTGCAGGAAGGCAAAGGGACACAGCTTCACCGGTGCTGTATTTTGCCGCAGTGTTCTAGGTGGGGCAAGATGTGCAGGGAGGTGGGCTTCCGGGTGTCTGCAAAGTGGGTTGGCACCTTCTATGGATGCCTCTTTTTTCCCCCCAAAGAATCAGGGAAAGCTTCCAGGTAACTGCTGCCAAAGGGTGACATGGGTGTGGGTGCAAAGACAAGCTACTGGCCCCTCACCACCACCTGGTGGTAGCTCTGTCTGCCCCAGGCAGGCCGCCAGGCCCTGAGTTGACTGCAGGCGTCTCTACCGTGCCAAGGCCTAACCCAGGCATCCCCAAACTTTTGACACAGGGGGCCAGTTCACTGTCCCTCAGACCGTTGGAGGGCCGCCACATACTCTGCTCCTCTCACTGACCACCAATGAAAGAGGTGGCCTTTCCTGAAGGCGGGGGGCCAGATAAATGGCCTCAGGGGGCCGCATGCGGCCCGTGGGCCGTAGTTTGGGGACGCCTGGCCTAAACTAACCAGGGTGCTCAGGGGGCCGCGGTCACGGTAGGCAGGATTTGTGGCTAATCAGAGGTACTTCTTCATATTGACCTTTGCTGCATCACTTGGAAATACAACAGCACCCTCTTCCGCCTTAGAAAATACAACCTGGGGACACAACTGGATTTCCTTTCATGTTTCAACAGCATTCGAGAGCCTCCGGTTGTTCATCTGAATAGCAGGGAACACTCACTATTTAGAATGTTAGGAGACTTATCAGGACAGGGCCAGGATCCAGGACCTCTGAGGCCCTCTGGGTCTCTAATCATCTATGCCTCAGTCAGTATTCTGAGCCTCACTTCTGGCAAACCCCAGGGTTATTCCTGGGATTTAAGACACTCTTGGCCTCGGCCTGTAGAGGCATAGATAGCACAGGCGGTAAGGGTCAGATCCTGAAGTCAGACCTCCTGGGCTTTAGTGACATACCAGCTGTGTGACTTTGGGGAAATTATTTGATCTCTCTGTACTGCTGTTTTCTCATCTGTGTAAAGAGGATGAAAATATTACGTATGAAATTGCTGATATTTGACCATTTTGACTCACAAAAATGGCCATTTTATAAGCTTCAACCCAACACCTATCACCAGGGCTATTGCGAAGATTGAATGAGTGGCTTAGCCATAGTAAGCACTGGTTGAACGTTTGTCTTTTTCTCACAAAAATAAACAGAAGCAAAAGCAAGCTAGAAAGATGTCGACATTTTGTGGAGCTAAGGAGGGTGTGCCAGAGTTTCCGTCCAGAACTATGCAAAGTCTGATTAGATCAGCCACGGCTCAAAAGCACAGAGACTCGGCTCTGAGACCAAACAGCTGTCTCCCTCATGTGATCATCTGCCTCCTCCTAAAAAATACTTAAGATGACTTGCTATAGACTCTGTCTCAAAAAAAAAATCTGTAAAAATACGGGACAGTTAAAAGTAGAGATAAAAAGGGATTGCAGGAATCAGAGAAGTCGGAGAAAGGAAGGCAGGAATGTGGAATGGAAAGCTCAGAATTCTGAGAGTTGACAATGGTTTTCTTCTAGGGTGGTTCCTTATGTCTGGTGCCATGGTGATTGGTGTCATTGTGAACAGTCAGAAAGAACACCGCCCTGGGTGTGAGTGTCTGTGTGTGGTAGAGACAGGGACTCTGTAATTCATCACCTAGTGCCAGGCAGAACTGATCATCTAAGCCAGAAAGAACAAGGTTAGAGGTTCCCAGCTAAGTCCTCCAATGCCACATGTCCTCTGAAGTCATTTTAGGTGCCTCGGAGCTCTTCTCAACATCTCACAGGGCACAAGGAAACCACACACTTTTATATCTTTACTTTGGGCTGGTCTTATATAAACTCAGTTATCATGCCACAGAGACCATAAGCTCTGATTGACAGTTACTTATTAAAAAGTCAAAAGTCTTTCAAGCAAGGAGACCATGCAGCTAATATAACATGCTATGGGAGAAAGAGGGAAGCCTTTGGCCTAATTCAATCATAAGAGTTCAAGTCGGCATTCTTGCTCCCTGCCCTTCAACAGAAACTCGAAAGGAGGAGAAGCCTCCCAGGCAAACGTGGCCTTCTGAACCAGGGAAGATGTATCTCGGAGAGGAGGGGACTGCGTCTTTAGAAGAGGCTACATGGCAAGAGTTCTACAAGCAAGGAAAGAAGGCGCTGGGATAAAATGCCTGCCAAGCCGGGCCACCCAACAGGCTGGAGCATGCCATCCCAGGCACAGGGACTCCGGAGCACAAGAGCTCTCAATAGTTGACTTTCTCAGGACCAGGTCTAGGCTTGCAAATATCTTTGTTTCCAGCCTATTGGGGTTTCTTTGTTTATTTTTAGATAGTTGATCCCTGTTTTCAGAGAAAGCTGCCTTTGGACAATTCTGGGGGCTGGAAGTGGTGGTAGTGGTTTGACACCAGGGCAAGATCTTCAAGAGGGATTCAAGCCTAGGGAGCAGCGTGAAGGCCCCTCCTGCCCAGAGGCAGTATGCTCAGGCTCTGGGCTAGCCTGTTCAGGTTTGAATCCTGACTTTATCTCTAGCTGTAACCTTGATTACACACAACCTCTTAACAAGTTGTCTAACGAATCTGGGCCTCAGTATTGCAGTCTCTAAAACAAGGATGATAACAATTCCTTCTTCAGACAAGGCTGTTGGGAGGATTCGATGGTTGAATCACATGACACTGACGCTTTGCTTTTTCCAAGATGCTCAAACATCAGCAGTTTCAGGCACTTCGCCCTAATATCCACTAAGCCCTCGGAACAGAGCCCAGCACTTGATAAGCATTTAGTAATAATGGCCAACAGGTGCTCCTTACTGTGTCAGGTAGCGTGTTGCCCATTCTGCATGTAAAGCTCGTGTCATCCTCCAACCATCCTGTGAGGCAGGAGCTACTATTATTCTCATTTTGTGGATGAGGCACGGAGAGGTTAAGCAACTTGTAATAGGTCCCAAAGTTGATTGGCTGGAATCTGAACCCAGGCAGTCCAAGACCAGAGCCCACTTTCTTATGGTGACCTGTAGTCTCCTGGCAGCTGCTAACCCTCATTATGGCTATCCCTGGGGCATCTTACTCTGGAATCCTGAGCTCCAACCTACCAAGGCTCCAGTTCAGCCTCAGCAAAGGGGTGTTCTTTTTCACCCCTCAGCTCGGCCCATTTGCAGGGGACCCCTGATGCACACAGAGCTGTCTCTTACCTCCTCCATTTTTCTGGCACAGGTAGGGGAACCTCCAGATGTTGCCGAGGCCCACGGAGAAGCCAATCTGGGCCAGGATGTACTGCAGCTTGCTGTTCCAGGCCGGCCGGTCCTCTGCGTCCAGCTCCTCCTCCGCTGCCTTTTGCTTGCCACCTGCCTCGCCAGCCACATTCAGTACGCTCTGCTTATAGTCCACAGGCTCCTCAAGGGCCAGCAGGTCGGCCACAGACTCAGTGACATGCTCACTGCTGTGCTCACGCTGGGTCACTTTGCTGTTCTTCGGCATCGATGCCACCTGGGCTGCGTAGCCCTGCTCCCCAGCACACAGAGAAGATGAAATTCAGCTGCTGTCAGCTCCTTCTCATCCAGGGACCTAGGAAACCAGGTGAGCAGGAAAGGATTATCTGACCACACCAGGGAGGTGAGAAGCCCAGCGTAGACGCAACCCAAATCAACTCCCCATCACACCCCGAGGCAGGTCAAGGGCTTCAAATATTGAGCTTGCCCTCCATCCTCATCAGGGGCTGCCCAGGCCTACAGACTCAGCTTCTCCATAGGTTTTACCTGACAAGCATCATTTGGAAAGTAAACCTAAAGGGGCAAAATAGGCAAAGCCATACACCAAACCCAGTTACAGAGCTCTCCACGAAGATATTTCTCTCTCCCATGCTGCAGAGTCTGGAGTACTCAAGACCCTTTGGAGCTCCGTACAGCCTTCCCCTTCCAGGTGTTCTGCTTAGCCAAAACCGCCTGGAGGGAGCCATGGAAGCCAGTGCCTGCCTTCCTTGGGGCCTTTTTATTCAAAACGCAGGGATTAGACCAAGAACTGGTTAGAAACGCAGCATCTCAGGCTCACACCAGACCTCCTAAATCAATCTCCGCCTTTTTACAGGATCCCAGGTGATTCAAAGGGACATTAACATTTGCAAAAAAAAAAAAAAGAAGACGACGACAGACGACGACTCTTGAGCCATCACCATGGAGCCCCTGGACACCAGCACCTATGGCATCTCCAGTCCCCTGGCTGGAGTTGCTGACCAGGCTCAGCTAAAGATTCTGGCATCAGAAGCCAAGAGCTGTTTGCTCAGTGCCAACAAATCTCGGGCCATTGCTCAGCACTGACATTATCTGAGGACTTCTGCAGCCAAGAGCTGGTTCTCCATCCTTCAGCGACAGTTTTACAGCAGATAATGTCTGCACAACACCGGCGGGGGAGGCAAAACCCTCCCCTGCTCCTGCCAGTCCTCATTTGTCTTTCATGCTTTCCCTTAAAGAAATAAAGCACCAAGAAAATGAATCCTTTGAAGAATTCCACCATTCCGTTATATTTCAAGGCACCCCCTCATTAAGGGAAGGTTGGAGGATTTAAAATTAAACACACACACCCTAGCCTGCGGTTGCCCTGCATCTTTCTAGGGATGTAACTTACCCAGCTCTGTAATTACTTTATTAAGGGAGAGAGGTGTCTCTGGAAGCTGGGCTCCTTGTTTGTTCTCCTCGTAGGTATATGCCACCTGAATGGCACAGGTGACGTAGCTCAAGTCTGTGCAGCACAAGGGCCAGGCCCACCCTTCCTGCCAGCCTTGACCCAGACCTCCTGGCTGACCCCAGCAAAGGCCTGACCTTCAAGGAGACCTGGCCAGCCAGACCCTGTTATACATGTAATGAAGCTGCGAGGTTTATGGGCTTGGCTAGCCCTCCCCAGGCCAGGTCTTGGACCACATTAGCAAGTGACACCAGCTGCCCTCTCTTTCCAAGGAGACAGTGAGTCTTTAGTGACTGCCCCCTCACACCTCAAGAACAGTCAGGGTTAGGCTTTGGAGTAACTATGACAGGGCCAGCCTGGTTAGAAGACCATGGAATTCCCTATAAGAAGCTCTATGGCTGTGTGCAGTGGCTCACGCCTGTAATCCCAGCACTTTAGGAGGCCGAGGTGGGTGGATCATCTGAGGTCAGGAGTTCGAGACCAGCCTGGCCAAGACGGTGAAACTCCATTTCTACCGAAAATACAAAAAACAGCTGGGCGTGGTGGTGGGTGCCTGTAATCCCAGCTACTCAGGAAGCTGAGGTGAGAGAATTGCTTGAACACAGGAGGCGGAGGTTGCAGTAAGCTGAGATTGTGCCATTGCACTCCAGCCTGGGTGACAGAGTAAGATTCTGCCTTCCAAAAAAAAAAAAAAAGAAGCAGCTCTCTGTTGGGACTCACTTTCCGGTGGGTCAGTTGGACATCCCATTGTGTCCTGGAGGGTGCCCCAGGGGTGACACTTGCAGCCCTCAGCCTCCCCCATGGCTGCTGTGTTGCATGTGCTACACAAGTGAAGTGCGGCCCTAGGAATTACACAATGGAGAGGCCCGTGTCCTTGCCTGGACTGCCAGGATGAGCTCCTCTCCTCACTCAGCAGGTCCCCGTCTGCAGGGCACGCAAACAGAGAAATGGCTGCTTGTGAAAGCTGCCTCTCCTCCCATCCTCTGCCGCTTACATCCAGAGCTGTTACTAAAGATGAGAGCTAGGAAGAAGGGTGAGGGTCCCTCCGGAGCCAGCTAGCACTAGGGTTCCTTGGCTCAGAGCCTATTTCCGGCCACTCTGCCTGCAGCAAGGTTTGATCGGAGCAATCTGCAGTGCATTAGGTGTGATTTACTGATCATCACGCCACAACTAGAGAAAACCAAGGGGGTTTCCTGCAAGTCTGCAGAATTTATCTTGCTGCTGACCAATTGGAGCACATGTTTCTCCATAAATAGCCTAGTGAGTGGCAGCTTCGGTCACCAAGATGAGAAAGGGCTAGGAAGAAAAAAGCATCACTTTAAACGAGGAGGACTCAAGGACATTCTGGTAAAGCAGAAGGATACCTACAGCAACATCCGGCAACCACAGGGCATCAGCTAATATGAGCTTCCTCCTTCTTCCCAAGATGTCACTGATGCCATGCGCATCCCGAGGGATGGGGGCCCAAGGACCCCTGTGCTATTAGGTGTACAGGATGCAAAGGGCTTGAACACACCTGGAGGCTGAGGCACTGGCTGGGCTGCAGTCATGACTGGAACCCTTTGTGCCCAGTGAATATGCTCAGGTGACAGCAGGGTCAGACTCAGAAATTAAAGCTTGAAGGACCCTAGCAATTGTCCGACTCAACGTTCCCATTATCTCTCTGGAAACTGAGGCACAGATTGAGGAACTGAATTGCCCAAAGCTACTAAGATTCTCCTGACACCCTGATCAGAGCCTTGCCTGGGGCAGTCAGACTCAGCAGAGGCGGGGGACACAGGGAGACCACTGGGTGTGGAAGTGTGAGGCATGGGCTGTGAAGCCAGACGGGCCTGGAGTTGAGGGTTCTCACTTCATTCATCACTCACTCACTCACTCACTCACCTGACATACATTTCCTGAGTGCCTCCTACATGCCAACCTCTGTTCTAGGTGCGAGGAATACAGCAAGGAGCAAAACTGGCAAAGTGTCTCCTTTTGTGGACTTTGCATTTCACTGTGGAAGGGCCGGATACTAAAGAAATCAGCGTATAATATCATGGCCTGAGGTGACACATGCTGTAAAGAGACTCACGCCGGAGGGGTGGAGCAAGCTGGCAGGTGGCTCTTCTATGCTGGATGCGGGGGTTGTGGGGGCAGTCAGGAAGGGCATCTCTGAGGAGGTGACATTTGAACAGCGGTGTGAATGACAGAATGAGAGGCAGAGACAGGGAGAGGGGTGCTGGGGAGGGAGGAACACAGCTGTGCTGTGCCGTGAGGACTGGTCCTGGCACTCTGAGTGAAGTGGGCAGCCCCGAATCCTTGGCCACACACTAGCTGTGTGCCCTTAGATGAGGCACTATCCTTAATTTTGTGAGCGTCCATCTCCTCACAGGTGAAAAGGTTGCATTTAATAACAGTTCCCAACTCCCAGGGAGGGCTACTGTGAGGGTCCAGTAAGCGGCCGCACATAGAGTGCCTGGCACAAAGCTTGGCACACAAAAAGGACCTAAATGGTAGCAGCCACTGCCTGGAAGCCTTGCTTTGTTTACTTTTATACATTTTTTTAAAAATGTAAGTCCCGCCTGGCGCGGTGGCTCAAGCCTGTAATCCCAGCACTTTGGGAGGCTGAGGCGGGTGGATTACGAGGTCAAGAGATCGAGACCATCCTGGTCAACATGGTGAAACCCCGTCTTTACTAAAAATACAAAAAATTAGCTGGGCATCGTGGCGCATGCCTGTAATCCCAGCTACTCAGGAGGCTGAGGCAGGAGAATTGCCTGAATCCAGGAGGTGGAGGTTGCAGTGAGCCGAGATTGCGCCATTGCACTCCAGCCTGGGTAACAAGAGCAAAACTCCGTCTCAAAAAAAAGTAAGTCCCTATATTGATATTTGGTCCCATAAATCCCATTTCTCCCCAAGAGAGGCCAAAGGGAGCTGACGGTGGGAGTGGAGGTGGGTGGAGAGAAGCAGCCTGCACCATCTCAGCAATGCCCACCTTCTTCTCCAGAACCGGCGTCCATCTAGAGCAGCCCCTAGAAAGTTCTACCATATGCCACACTCCAGTGTCAAAGGAAGCCAGGCAAAGGTCCCACAGCTCCCAGCTTGGATCCAAAAGACCAGCAACATTATTATTAATAAAAACAAGGCCTTTGTATCAAAAGTTTAGCACTATTGTTATTAATTAAAATGTACCTCATCTTTGGAATAGCTTGAGCCCATTTCAAACCATTTTCTAACAGACCCTACTGGTGCAATATGGGGAGGTGATCCCGCTCAGGAGTAAGCCGACCTGGGTTCCAACCTCAGCTCACTGTGTGCCAGCCACCTGGCCTGGGCAGCTTTTCTAGCCTCCCTGAGCTGCAGTTTCCTCACGTGTCAAGGGAGGGTGCCAGCGGTGCCCACCTCACCATACTATGAGGAGGATAGGTTGTACTGGTCTTAGAATCATGCCAGCACCCAAGAAGGGCCCGCAAATGGTGCCTCTTCTTTAGCTCTCATTCAATTCATACCTCAGCCCAGGGAAGTGGGTTAGTGTTGCCATCACCCTGGGTTACAGGTGGGGACACTGAGGCCCAGGGTGACACAGGGAGTGGCTCATGCCACACAGCTGTTGTCAACCAGGTCTCCCTCCATTCTCCAGGTTGAAAGGTGTTTTTTGTTTGTTTGTTTCTTTGCTTTTGTTTTTTGAGATGTTTTTTTGCTCAGCCACCCAGGCTGGAGTGCAGTGGTGCGATCTTGGCTCACTGCAACCACTGTCTCCTGGGTTCAAGCGATTCTCCTGTTTCAGCCCCCCAGAGAGCTGGGATTACAAATACCCGCCATCATGTGTGGCTAATTTTTGTATTTTAGTAGAGACAGGGTTTCACCATGTTGGCCAGGCTGGTCTTGAACTCCTGATCTCAGGT